TCTTCTCCAGAGCCCAGGGGGTTAAGCGGTCAGAAACCCAGCAAGGTCACTGCTGGAAGAGCTCTTCTGTGAAGCTATATTTCACCAAGAAAATAGAGATCATCCTTTTCTCCCTGGGGGACTTTTTAACCATTTTCAGAAATATTGCAAAAGCAAAATTCTGAGAATCAGTTCATAGGTGCCCCAAGGAACTGCCTGGCTGCAGCAGTGCAGTTAGGCTGTCAATGCCCATGACATGGGCTGTGGCTCTTTATGTTTCTCTGGTTAGGAATAAGGGATCTGTCAGGTTCCATCACACGGCCACTTATATATCAGGACTACTCTTCACATCACATTTTTAAAATTGTTTTTAAAACCCAAAGAAATAATCTGCAAAAACGCTCCTGCTCCAGCCAACTTAGACCAGCCCCTTGCCCCTAATTAATTCACTAATAATGTTCGAGTCTTTCATCTTGCAAATATAATACCAAAAGTGTTGAGAGTTATCTCTGGTAGCTGCTTGCCAGGCATCTATGCACCTTTAAAAGCAGCAGCGCTTCCAATCACCTGCTGTCCTTCCACGGTTTCCCAGGAAACCAACACACATTGCCACTTCATATCACACAGGAAATTCTTTAAAAATGAGCCTGCAGCATTTCCTTTTTTTCAACAATTCTAACTCACTAAAATACATCCACATTAAAAAGTAATGTCATATAAACAATAAATAGCACGGGCAGCAAGAGGAAGAAAGGCATTTTTACTGAGGGCTTCCCATGGAGGCAGTGGCCAAGTGTGAGCAGGAGCCAGGACACAGCTTAAAGGGGCAGGCTCGCATTTCTCCTGCCCCCCTCTCAGGGGCCCTGCTTCCTGCACCGTGGCTTCCGGCTGCACGTACGGGCCTCCGCCCCTCAAGGCTCATGGCTTTATGCCCATGGGGAGGGCTCTTCTCCTGTAGATGCTGTGCGAAGGATCCCAGGGCAGATGCTGAGGGGTTCAGCTTGAGACATGTGCCTGCCCAGTAGCCAGTGTTTGCAGGACAAGCCATTCAGCCCAGTGACAGGGAGAGGCAGAGAAGGGTCCCTTCTGAAGGTCACTCAGGAAGGTCAAATCCCAGACCCAAACACTGGACATCACTGTGGGCAGGACAGGCGACCTTGGCTGTGTCCCTGCCAGGACCTCCTCTTACCTCCCACATTTGTCACACACACCCTCTCCACACTACAGGACTCTCAGATCCTCACTTGGGAAGATATGTAATGATACACGGTACCAAGAAGCTTCCAGTGAAACCACATTTTGTTAATCACGGAAACATACGCATATGGGTGTGGGGCCTGTGCTGCCTTCATTCCCTAAGCAGGCTAGACATACTCTTAGAAATGCTGGCTCCCGTAAGAATGCAGACCCTCTAGACCACCCCTCATGCCCCCCTGGCCACCCTTAACTGGACAGCTGCAGGAAGAGGGGTGGGCAAGGATCCAAAGAGGAGAGAAGTGCCTGGAGGGCCACCCCAGGCAAGGGGCAGGTTGACAGAAACGGACTGCCAGCCGAGAGGCTGCATGGGGTTTCTCCACCCCTGGGGGCAGTGAGACAGACCCGCCCTCATACAGCACTGCCCTACCCTCTCATCAAACTAGCAGAAGGGGCCCTGAAACCTTTGGAAAAAGGCTTTACTCCTGCTGCCTTTGGCTGCAACACCAGCACAGGGCCTGGCCCCACTCTGTCTTGGCTCATATGACCCTGAGAAGGCCACTTGCTTCTGTGGGTCTTGATTCCTTCAGACACAAAAGGGGAGAGTGACTCAAATGGCTACTTCTCGGGCTTTGCCTCGTGCGTACCCTCTGCATTTGGGACGGGGTGGGCGGATTCACAGTGGCCAAGGACACAGTCTGATGAGGGGGAAGTCTTGAATCGTATATTCAGGCATCTGCTAGCACTGACCTGACCCGTGTGTGTGACACCTGCAACAGAACTGCTGGCATCCTGAGTGCTCTAGGAATTCCTATTGAGAAGAGGAAGCCTTCAGTGCTTCAGCGTGTGCTCTTTCCCCAACACATGTGCATTTCCCCCAGGAGAAATCTAGAACCAAAATCAGTGTCTGAAGAAGTGACAAGCCCAACTCAGGGTCGATGCAGATTCCCCCAGCTTCCCTCCCATAACCTTTGTTCTTGTCCTTTCCTGGCTTAGTTCACATACACAACTTTGCCCTTAAGCCCCTCAAGGCCTCTAAGAAACAAGCAGAGTAAATCTGGGCATAAATCCAGATGCCTCATCTCTAATCTGAAACCCTTGAGGCCAGACTCATCTAAGAGAGTGGCGTTTTTCAGGTTTGGGGTATATTGTATGTAACAACTCTAGCATCGGACACATTAGTATTTCTGCAGCAAAACCTGATCATGCTCACCCTGAATGGCCTCATGTCAGCTCAGCTCAGGCAAGCTACCAAATTAGCTCAACACAGGTCAGGCCTTGCCTCCCAGCAAGTTATAAAAACAGCTTATTATCCACACTGTGGGTTTTGGAATTTTGAACGGAGGGTGTGAACCTGTTCAGCTGATGTGAAGGAGGGCCTGGTGCAGGAATCCACTCCCCCATGGGCTTGCCAGGCTCAGACATGGGAGCTGGCCAGCTTGCCTGTCTCTCTGGGAAGTTCTCTTCAACAAAATATCCCCCTCCTCCTTCTAGGCCATTGTGCAGTTGCAAAGATCAGGCAAGGGGGTTACTCGGGTGCCCAGCATTCCGCTGGGTGGAAGCCACCAGGACCTTGTCGTCATCATCTCCGCCCAGTAAGGGGGGCGCCGTAGGTCCTCTGCACCTTGGAAAGTGTCAGGAGGGGAGGTTTGTCAGACCTGCATTTATATGCACTCCGCCTCAATAAAAAGCAGAGGAACCAGATGCATTCAGCTGCTGACAGTCTATTTTGCCATAATACAAACAGTTTACATTTAACACCCTGAATAGTTTCAAATCTGTAACTTAGTGTTACTGTCAAGTAAATATTCCAGTTAGAGCCAGATCTTCAGTGTGTCCAAAAAATTCCAGGAATCTCCTACTCCACCCGATGTTCACAAGGGATTTCTGTACAGCCTGGCAGCCACCCACTCCCACAGCACTACAAGACAAAACGCAGGCTCCCCAGGCAGAGGACAGTGCAGTTCACCAATCAGAGCTTCCTGCACAGCTGGCCCGTCATTCTCCGACACATGAGGGAGAATAGCTCCCAGCACATCGCTCTAGCACCAAGGGTCCTTCTGTCTCATGAGTCTCTGTAGAGCTCCACATAAGGACTGAAGGCCACTTCCCTTCCTCCCCTCCCCCGACCCTAGCCTGGCTGCTGATCAAAGTCCTCCCAGATCATCCAGTAAATGCACTCCCAGGCCCTACCCCAGACAGGCTGCTGCGAAGAGCTGGAGCCATGCCCTTGAATCTGTGCCCTTCACGAATTTCCCTGGTGATCCTGAGAGAGCATGTCAGGGCCGCTGACACCCCTGGGGAGAGGAGAAGGGGCTGGTGTGGCTGACCTCTTGATAAGTCAGGCCCAGGAGCCCAGAGCAGCATGCCCTGCTGGTAGTGGCCAGAGTGTGAGGGACCAAGCAGGATGCCAGCAGGTCAGGGTCCAGCTGGGTGCCTTCCATCCTGCAGTGCCTTGGAACAGAAGAGGCTTTACCCAGCCAGTTTCCTATTGCCTCCTTGAACTTGAAAGGCTGGCTGGCTGCCGAGTCTAGAGACCCATTGGTGTCCATGTCCTTCAGGTATCTGTGGCCTCTGAGGGATCCCAGAGGGCCTGAGGCAAGCCCTGTGTCTTCAGAATCTGGGCAGCTGGCAGCTCCCCACAGCAGAGACTGGGCCAGCCTGGGGGTTCATCCCCACCAGGTGGCAGGGCTCCGAGGGCCATGAAGTTCCCAGGACCCCCAGGCAGGTCCCAGGTCCACACAGCACGTGTGGGACAGGGAATCCCGGAGCCCTCCACCCTCTCAGGAAACACCCATCTCAGCCACAGTCCTTCCAAGTGACTTAAAATCAGCCCCAAAGACCTTGAAATGTATGAGGTAGAGTTTTGCTTTAGAAAGTGAACTTAGAAACTGTGCAGACTAAATGTTCCTAATGGAAACTGATTTTATTTTATAAAAAGAAAGGTAGGAGGAGAAAACCATCAGAGGGACTGATGGTTACACATCAAGGCGCTGCTCTGTCCCCACCAGCTTTTCAATTACACGTGGCTCAGCACCTGGGGCCAAGTCCATACATACCTGAGAGAGGCTTATTTAGGGCTCCTTTCTCGAAACCCCCTCAGAGGCTGGCGTGGGTGGGACAGCACAGTGTTCGCATCCGCAGGGCAGCCCCGCCTGCCTATCCGCTCGGGTCTGGGAGAGCCCATGTGTCCCAGCCTCAGGCAGGCCAGGGGTCCTGGAGCATTCCCACCCCTGCTGCCTTTCCACCCTCTGCGTTGACCTCTCCAGGGGCAGGGATGGAGTGTAGCCCTGTCCAGGGACAGGCCCAGCACCCAGAGGGTGGGAGCAGAGACTCATGAACAGCTGAGAGCACATTGTCCCAGCGGACACAGCGGAGATGCTGAGCTCAGCCGAGGTCAGCTGCGGGAGCACCTGTGTGGACCATGGGCGGCTTGGGATGGAGGCAGGAGCAAGGGAGGAGGGCAGCGGGCAGTGAAGCCAGCTGTCTAGTAATGCTGAACTGCCTCTTGGCCTCTTCCTGCTGCCAGCTCAGCTCTGCTGGCCATGGCCACCCTCCCCTGTAGCCACCTTCACCTCAGGGCTGCTGCCCCGAAGGCCAGCTCCTCCCAGGTACCCCCTGCTGCCCTCCCCCTCCCCAACACCTACCTCCGTGGCTGCCCCTCCACGGCCACCTTCTCTCCCCCTGTGGCCACCCTCCCTGGTGGCCATCCCTCAGGCACCTGCGGCTGCTGCGTGCTTCCCAGGACCACAGCCCCATGGCCATCCTTCCCAGCCTCGCCGTGGCTGTCCCCGCTGCCCCTGCTCACAGCTCACTGTCCCCCGCAGGGCACAGGCTCCGAGTCCGAGGACGGACCTCCCCAGCACTCTTTCGTCAACCACTACATGAGCGACCCCACCTACTACAATTCATGGAAGCGGAGGGCCCCGCACAGGTACGAGGCCGTGGCGGGAGCCGAGGTGGGGCCGCACCTGCACACGGTGGTCACCACGCAGAGCGCCGTGTTCGCGCCCGCTGGCCCCGGCACCCGGACTCCGCTCACCGGCTTCTCCTCCTTCGTGTGACTGCCTCTGCGGGGTAACGGCCCTTTGGGGCCTATCCTTATTAAGACAATCAACTCCGGTAACTGAGCTCAACCTGGTTTAAAGCAAATTCTGATGAGCGATTATCTTACCTACTTGTGAACCCTAGATTTCAATTAGGAAGGTTTTTTTAATGGCTTTTTGTAACATCGCTGCAGGAAGCAGTCTCTGGTTTTCTTTTCTTTTTACGAGAAGGTGTATTTCCCTGGTGCGCCGGGACCTCGGGAGACCTCGGAGCCTCCCAGTGCTGGGCCTCGCCCTGACGCCCGGTGGAACGGCAGCAGGGCGGCAGGTTGGGAGCCCCATGGGCCTGCGCCTTCTCCCCAGCCGCACGCTCTCCCAGGCTCCCACCCCGCGCTCCGGGCGAGCATCAGCTTTAAGAGGCCGGGCAGCGGCGCAGACGAGGCGGTGTCGCTGCCCGCGGCATCCGAGCGGCTGCCTTCTGCCTTTCCGGGGGTGAGATTCCGGCGCCTGCCTTCCTCTCATCCTGCGCTGGCGGCCGCCGCCTCGGCCCTCGGCCAGCAGCTCCTCCCGTGCACGGCACAGGGCCAACCCGCAACCCAGAGAAGGCAAGAGGGCGTTTTGCGAATTGCTTGTTGTCAGAGGTGTGCATTGTTAACCAGAGTATTTTTTAAATTTTTTTATCTTTTTTTAAAATATGTCACATGAAATGAATGAGCCTCTGCTGTCTCCAGGTGCCTTTTTATTCGTTGTTAAGCTTTGTACATGGAAAGAGAAGCGACAGTGTCTCTAAAAAGCGACGGCCCTGAGGACAGGGCCCCAAACGCCCAGTGCCGCCGGGCCCTCCTCCGAGCACCGCCCCCTCGGTGCCCTGGCTCAGTGGCCCGCCTTGACCTCCAGTGCTGCTGCCCTTCCCCCTCCCAGGCCAGCCTTTAGCCTTAACGGATTGTTCTGGAAATTATTTTTCCCCTTTGTTATTGTTTTGCTTTAGTTTTTTAGCTAAGTGAAAATAGTATGAACTCCTTTGGACATTCAAGAGTCTAAACCGTTCTGTGCCTCCAGCCCACTGCTTTATTTTTGCAACAGGTGTGTGAGGTGACTGGAGGACAGGTGGTCAAGCCCTCAGCCAGGAGCCCAGGTCTAGCTGTACCGCACATCTTCTGGTGCCAGCAGCACACACCCTGAGCTCCGCGAGGGCCCCCCGTCCCCGCTGCACCCACAGGTGTGAGGCACAGAAAATGCACAACCACCCTGTCCCCCAGGCAGAGGGGAGCAAAGCAGGTGCCATTCACCCAGGTGGCCTGCCAGCACCCTGACTGATGGGAGCGGCTGGTGCCGGCACCCACAGGTGCCCGCTGGGCACAGTCTCATGGCCACATGTGGGCCGTGTGGTCTCTGCTAGGCTAACTTTGTTCTTCCCTCTGTGGGACAGGGAGCTGTCTTGACCCTCCACTTTCAGAGTTGCTGGGTGTGGACCCAGGAGACCATGGAGAGTTTTCTGTTGAAAAGGTGAAAAGCCCCTTTTCTGTTTTTTCCAAAAGTAGAGGCTGTGGAAAGCTTCCTGCACCCCGTCCTCCTCTCCTCCCTTCCTCCTGCCTGCCTTCTCTTTCTGAGAGGAGAGCGAAGCAATCTAAACCAAAAATCCTCCACACTCCTCCCAAAGCCACTTCTGCATGAGACCAGCTGCCCCCAGGTCATTGCACAGGAGCCTCCTCGGGGCAGAGACCCCTCCTTCCTCTCAGCCCCAAGGCGGGATGCACAGGAAACTGCAAGGCCACACCCTGAACTTCTCGGACACAGAGAACACGGACAAACCTGCCTGGTGCGCATTTTGCTCTCTAAGCCATATGGACTTCGCTCTAAGTATGGGGGGAAGTGCTGAAACGTCGCAGGACAAGGATGATTTGGCTCGAGGTGTATTCTTTTGCTTTTGGGTTTCTGTGACAACATGACCCCTTTTTTCAAGCTCATTATATTTCCTGTATTTTCTCTACTTCTGGGAAACCCTTTTTTGTACAGAATTCTCTGTTCGAGGCTGCGCTGGCACTGCGGCTGCTGATGACTGCTCACTCCTGCTCCTCACCCGGTCCCTCGGGGGCTCGGCCCACAAGACACCCGCAACAAAGGAGCAGAGCGGGCATCTCTGGCTCGACTCCAGCCTCCCTGAGCGACACGGGCATTGAGAAGCACCAATTCCTCGCCTCTCGACTGTAGGGAGGGGAAAAAAACCACACAATAGGGAAATAGTAATGGATTTTCATCTCAGCACTGAAAAACGGACAAGCAACACTTCTTTGACTGAGGCTAGATAAATGCCCTCTTCTTGCCCCTCCTGTAGACGCTGTGCAGGCGCCTGAGGGGGCGGCAGCCAAGCCTCCACCCCACCTACACCCCCACCCCCCACCGCCCCAACCAGCCCTGCAGAGGGTCGCCCACCGTGGCACTGACAGATGAGCCACCCTTCCCACGGAGGACGAGGCAGTGAGGCAACTGGAAGGACCTGCTCTCTCTCTGAGCTGTGGGGAAGGTGTGCGAGGGGCTCCCTCCCCATTGGGGGTGCCAGACACGGGCTTCCAGGGCAGTGAGCACGGGGGGCGGGGGCAGCCCCTGCACCCAGTGGGCCTTCAGCACATCCACCTGACCTCGCCTGCTCCGGCCCTCCCTTCAGCTTCCCCCCCTTGCTTCTAAGGGGCACTCCTTACGTGTCACCGCAGAGGAAGATGTGATGTAGGGCTATGTGGGGACCCGCTGCCCCGAGGGTGATGGGGGAGACCACGGTGGGCAGCTCCACACCGTGAAGTGTCCACACTGGAGGGGGATGCGCTCTGTCGATTTCCGCTGCTGTCCTTGTACTTGATCATGGCTGGACTGAAGCATGGTGTTTGCATAATGGTTCACAGCATGGTTTTTAGCTTTTACAAATTCTTGGCACACAGTTAGTGATTCTCCTGATGAGCAATCAGCCCACGTATCCCAGTGTGGCTCTCTCTAATTCAGCATCCCTGTGGCAGGGATCCAGTCTGCAAGGTGGGAATGATGGAGAAGTCCACAGCCTGAGCTGGTCTGCTGAGGCACACCTCAGCGTCACATGCTGGTTTATTGAGAGCTTAGGTCAGTCCGCAAGTTTCCCCTACGTTTTCTGGAATTATGCAGAAAACCATAAATTAAAAAAAAAATGTAGGAAGACAGAGAGGTGCTATGGGTACTTTTAATAAAAACACCATTTTGTTCCTTATGCACTTGTGATTTTCTTCAATAAGTATTGATGAAGTGGCTCACGAATCCCAGGGCTGGGAAGGTCGAATGCTGAAGCACCACCAGGTCGTGCCGTCCCAGACCCCATTCCCCTGCACTCCGGGTATGGGACAGCATTGCTGAGGCCCTGTGCTCTCCTGGGGGAGGAGGGGTGCTGCAGGGGGCACCTGACATGCAGCCGGGTGGTAGGTGGACAGCAGCCATGCTCAGCCTCAGCCTCTGCCACCTGGCCTTACCCTCGAAAAGACTTCACAGGTGCCCCAGGAAGCCTGCTCCTTGCCACACTTAGCCTTGACTGGGGAAATGCAGGCCATGAGCAAGCCTGCTTGCCCTCCTCAGGAATCTCCCCTCCCTGTGAGGCCTCTGCAGGCTGGGGAGAAACATGAGCAGGGGCTGAGTGCCGCCGTTCCCTCCCTCTCCAGCTGTGTGTGTGTTGGAGCCCCCCGGGAGGGGGGTCAGCCTTACATACCCTCAAGTCCTGCCAGCTTCAAACAGCAGTTCTCAACCAGGGTGTGTTGTAGAATCACCAGGAAGCATTTAAACATCCCAGTGCCCAGTCACACCCCAACCAGTTAAGACAGAATCTCTGAGGGCTGGACCCAGGCACACTTTTTTCTTAAATGCTACCCAAGCAATTCCATGTGCAGCCAAGCAGGCCATGAACCTGGGAAGAGGCAGCGGCTGCCAGCTGCAGGGGGCCAGGGGATGGGGGGCCGCCGAGTCGAAGGAAGGGCCAGGGGTATGATGCTGACTTCGCCCATTTGCTCCAGAAGTGATCACTGCCATTGACAAGCCAAAGGTAAGAACATGAACATTTTTCTCTCTCTTCCCCATCATTTGTCCACCTACGTTCTACCAACATGATAAGAAGTTAAAATCTGTGTTTTCCACCGCCTCCAGTATTTCAGAAAGTGCACCTGCTGTGTAAGAAAACTGGTGCTTGTTGACACACACCATTTGCCAGGCCGTGCTCCGCACTCTGCATTTGTTAATCCGCAGGACGCCCCCAGGATCCTGCCAGGGAGGCACAGTCAGGGTCCTGGTTTGTCAAGGAGGAAGCGTGCCCCAAGCGGTGAAGCCAGGGCCCCGGGGCAGACAGGTGGCACGGGTAGGCCCAGGCCCAGACTGGGGCTGTTGTGGGGCCCCGTGCTGGGGTCCTGGCCACCGCATTGCCTTCCAGCAGTCTGTCTGCTTTCCCCGAGCTTCCCTCAGATCCGTGGACCACACGACCCAGAGCTGGCATGTCAGGGCTGTGTACCTGGAGCTGAGATTGTGTCCTCCCACATCGTTCTCTCCTATACTAGGAAACAGAAAATGCATGAGTTAATTGGTCAGTGTTGTGCAAAGCCTTGCCATTATGACTATTATTGTTGTTGTTATATTATTATTGTTGAAAACTTAATGGAAACGCTTTCTAGATGCAACCTTGTATCACAGAGAAAAGAAATCTCCATTAACCTGTGGAGTGACCAGATAAACACAAGAAGGAAAAATGAGTCGGAACCCTGGCTGCACCCAGCTGCGTGGACAGCAGTGGACCATGAACATGGCCCCCAGGACGGTGTGAGCCGCGGAGTCTGTGGGCAGGAGGAGGAAGGAGCCACCAGCATGACACCCGATGCCCTGGGAGGAGCCGACACGTTCTGGGGCCTCGAGTCCCACAGGGCCCAGCCCCTAACAACCTAAAGTGGGCACCCTAAAGCAACCTATAGGAGCAGAGCCAGGGGGCACCTCAGGGAGGGAGCAGCTGTACCCTACAAGCTCAGGTCCCCTCTGAAAGGAACTGGACCCAGGTCTGCACTCCTTCACAGAGGGCCCAGTCCCCAGGATGTAAGGACCGAGGCATGCCAGGGCCCTCAGCCGACTGGCTGGGCCCTCAGCCACCTACCACTGAGCTGCGCTGGGCCCCCAGGGGCAAGCTCACTTTGGCTGCAGAACATGTTTCTCCTCAGTCTCCCCCAGACAGTTCTGTGCGGACCTGGCCTTCCAAGCGCTGGGTGACCAAGCTAGGCAGAGAGGTGGGTGTCCCCTCCTTGGAATGTGACTCGCAGCAGGAGAACAAGCTGGAACCCCACTGAGATTTCTTCTGCGAGATGGCCTGGTTGCCCGGGCAGCCTCTCTGCAGGTTTCCAAGCTCCATGCCTGTCAGCTCAGTGAGCCCCTGGCATTCGCTCGCTCACTACCTTTTGAGTTAGCCTGAGACTGAGCGCCTCTCCCGACTGGACGTCCTGCTTCCAGCTCCTGGAGGCCCCTGGTGTGCCCAGGCCTGAGCTCTGAACACAGGTGTGCCCCCTCCACTTGGCCGGCCTGAGGGAAGGGCCCGGAAAGGGCTCTCAGCCTTCGGGATGGCACCACACCTCTTCTGCTTATGCAGAATTGATGCCACGTGGTTCCCACCAGGACAGCCGACAGCCCCCAGGCAGAAGAGATGGGCCAACAGGGGAGGCCCAGGTCACAGTGTGCTGTGGTGTAGGCCTAAGTGTTTGCCACAAAATGAGGCATAGCCAGAGCAGAAAAACACTGTGAAAATCAACTATCTGTAAATGGCCCTGGCCAGGTGGAGCTCTACCTCTGTAAGCAAGAATGTTTGGAGTCAGTGCAGGTCAATGGTAACTGGAGCAGGTGCCCCTCCTGCACCACAGCCTCGCCCCCCACCTGACCTCAGGCAGGGGATCATCCCCACCAGCCCCACCATGTGCTTCCTGGTACCTCCACCATGGGACGGAGAAGCCAGGTGGACCCAGAAAGCAGGGTTTGCGTTGAGTTGGCCGGCCTGAGGGTTGTCTCGGCCGCCAAGGCCCCCACCACCCAGTCCAGACCTCAGGCGGGTGAGCCCACAGCACCAAGAAGGCAAAGCCACAGGTTCCGAGGTTGGTGGCCAGGCCTTACCGTACTTTCCAAGAAAACCCCAGTTTGATGTGTTTTGCCAACTTCCATGGCCTTCACCAGTAGGTTCAGAGCTTTGCTTTGTCATGAAGCAGAACCACTTTGGGATGCTTTATTTGGAAGCCAGGGAAGCTTTACAAACCCCACTGAACAGCCTGTTTTCCTAAAATGACAGATTCGCCAGACGCCTATTTTAAACTGATTTGAACATGTCCACGGCTGTGCTTGTACAAGTACCTCAGGATTTGCCAAAAACGCGTTCCCTTTAATGGCTTAAGTCAGTTAACAGCCAGCATGGGCGAAAATTCCAAGCTGTTAATTTTGGACTCTACGGTCTTAAAATGTCCTGCTTCTCCTCAGATAAGACAATATTCTGCAGTCATTAAGCAAACCATGACATTATGGAGCTGAATTTGATCCAGACTCAAATATTTTCACAAAAAAGTCATATTTCTGAGGCATCCTGAAAATGTTTTGGTGGGATTCTCCAACCAGCAGATGGCATAGCTGACCTGCTGACTTGGGGGGTCCAGAGAGCCCCATGGGGTCCCCAGGGAGCTGGAGAGGAAAGTCCTGTTCAGCTGAGGGAGCCCTGGATTCTGCAGGTGAGCGTCCTGCCTCTGTCTCAGGGAACATTTTTTCAAGAATACTGAGGGCCAGGAAACTCGGGACTTGCCGCACCAGAGAGAGGTGACAGAAGCCAGGCAGAGACCCAAACAAGCCACTGAGAGGCTTCCAGGGCATCTGTGATGGAGAAAAGGGTCACACAGCCTCAGGGGGTCTGCCTTCTTCCTGTGCCTCAGTGCCACCCACTAGCCTGAGGAGGGACCCAGCCCTTCCCAAAGGGACAAGGCCCTTCTCTGCCATTCCCAGCACAAATGTCACCAGGCCATCCACAGGGGGAAATGAGTTCTGCTACATCCACACTTTGGCACCTATGCAGCCCTTTGACAGAATGAGATGGAATCACATCTGTGGGCACAGAGCAATCTCCAAATTATACCATCATGAGCAAAAATGAGTGAGCTCCCCTTGTATACGTGCATGTTTGCACACGCATATGCTAGGATGTGTGGAGACTATATGGGAAAATGAGCAAGACCTGGGAACAGCAGCTACCCCCAGAGAAGGGATGGAAGGAGAAGCAGCAGGCTGGAGAGAACCAGGGCATGTTTTGAATTGTTTGCCAGGTATGTGTATTATTAGCTTTTCAAATAAAAAAGAAACAGCAATGCCAGGACACCAGGCTGGGTGGGCCACTGGCCCTCCGCCCCCCAGTCTCTGTCCTGCCTGGGCCCCATACAGAGATGCAAACCAGCTTCTGTGCTTTGGGAAAATCACTAATCCTGATTTTTTCTATTCTAGAATATAAATAACAGTAGCTTATTTTGAGACTTAAGTGAGAAATGGGTGGGAAAGCTGTTTGCAGACTCCAAAGATATGTTAGTGTCAGTTTATCTCCTTGTCACCACTGCCAATATCTCAGATCTCAGGGCACCCAAAGCAAGAAATAGGACCTGCCCAGGTGTCCACAGGAGGCCCAGAAGCAGAAGAGCCTGCCCCCAACCCACAGCGAGACTCCACCACCCAGCTGTCCCTGCTCCCACGGTTCTAGGTAAAAGTAGCTCCATGCAAACAAAATCTGCTACCCTGCTCTCAACCAGCTTACACTGACCCTGGGCTGTGGTCAAGGTTTCATTTGGTGACAACTTACAGTCTTTTGGCTAAGAAATTGTACCCTGAGTCATGTCAGTCCTATCTTCTATTCAGAATTCTGTCTGGAATGGAAAGTGTCACACATTTTTTAAAATTATTTTTGAAGTTTTAGCAACGTTTACTCAATGTCTTGCCAATGGGTTTCAGCCCTGAGCAAGCTCACTATGGATTCAGTGTGACCAAAGAAAATTGACAGTAGAACACTCTTTGGGGTGAAAATGTTATACCCAACTTTATTTCCAGGTGGCAGGTCAGTCACTAGAATCCCATTCACTCAGAGCTAGTCTGCATGCAGCAAGCCGGTCTCTGCCTCTGGGCCCCTCTGTCCACACAGCTGTCTCTGCACAGCCATCCCGCACAGCCGTCCCCCGGGCCTCT